AGTGAAAGGAGAGTGCGGAAACCGGAGCTCAACCCCAAAACCCCTTCCTTAAACCCTGAACCGCAGCCTCCCCCCTGAAACCCTACACCCCCAGCCAATTTGCTATCTTGCTAACACTGTGGAAAAGCGAAAACACATTCCCTTTTTGAGGCTCCATGGACCCCCCTCCGCTTTGGAAACCGCCGGGCCCTCCGCTTTGGAAACCGCCGGGTTGGAAACCGCCGGGGCCTCCGCTTTGGAAACCGCCGGGGTTTGGAAACCGAAAAGTTAACTGGCTGTCTGGGGCCACAACAGCCGAAAAAACCAGAGCTGCCTACAAGTCTTGTTCCCAAATTGTTTTTTTTATTCAGTCTCCCGCATGCCAGACACCGTCCCACGCTTCCAGGTAATTACGACTCAGAGGCTTCCTGTCCGGGGCTGTGTTTGTGCGTCAGAGGCTGCATGAAGTCTCCTTCTTGCGACCTGGAAGACAAGTGTCAGTTGCAAGTCGGCAAGACAAGTGTCAGTTGCAAGTGCTCCTGGATGTGCCTTGTTTAGTGCGCAGCGTATCGGAAACGGCAGACAGTGGCTTTCAACCACGCGCTTGAGGCCGCAGCTTGTCTGAAGCCGCCGCTGGAGTCTCAAGGCGCGGCCGGGAACTGTAAGACGGTGCTTTCCTGCCATCGCAGAACAACTCTGCTTATCTGTCGGCTTATGACATGCCTTGTAGCCACGCGAATGACTGATTATATATTAGAATCGGTAGCATGGATGTTCTCTGCTTCGAAACTCTTTGCTGTCCTGCATGTGCTACGGGGTGGTCGTGACAGAGACAAAGTGCAGTGACAAGCAAACCCGGCTGCCAGAGTGTCGTACAAAAACAAACGTTTTGTCAAGCGCCGCTGGCTCAGCACTCAGACAGAGAGCCCTGCGAGCTTCGGTTGACCATGCCGACTCAGCGCAGAGACAGAGAGGTTTGCGAGGTTCCGTGCCGGCCGACACCAGAGAAGGAAGCCCCCAAGAAGAGGTTGAGGCGAAGCATCTTGCGCGTGGGCTCGGACTTTGCAGGTCTCGACACAGCTGCATGGGCGTTGCGCATATTGGGCATTCCCTTCGAGCACACATTTGCTGCAGACAAAGATCCTTCCAGCTTCAAGGTGCTTTCCTACATGGGAGCGAAAACAATCTATCGGGATGTGACAACACGTCCGGCGACAGAGGCTCCTTCCGTCGACCTCTATACGTTCGGCCCCCCGTGCCAGCCTTTCAGTGCTGCTGGCAACCGCCTTTCCACAGCAACTCCTGATGGAGTCCTAGCTCTGCACAGCCTGACCTACATCAAGCATCATCAGCCATCTATGATCCTAATGGAGCAGGTCCCAGATGTGCTAAGCCTGGCACCTGATCTCGTCAACCTCCTCTTCCAGGAGCTGGCTGCCTTGGGCTATTCCCTGTCTTCAGAAATCCTCGCGAGCAATAAGTATGGAGTCCCGCAGAAGCGCGAGCGCTTGTTCCTGGTGGGAGTCAAGAATCCTGTGGAGCCGTTTGTGTTTCCGGCAGAAGTGCCCCTGTGGCCAATCAGAAACCTAATTGCTCCACTGCCGCCGGGCAACTTTGCGGTTTTGCCTTCTGCTGGGATTGGCATCAGCGCGCAGAAAGTGGCAAATGTGACTTCTCACATCGAAGGCGCAGTGGCTGAGGGGGTGGACCCCTTCGAGAGGGCGGTTTTTGTGTCTGCGGGCGCGTCCAAAAGATGGTCTCACAAGTCGGTTGACGAGGTCATGACATTGACCAAGACAGAGGCCGCGAGGCAAGGGTACTGGTGCTCTCTGAAAGGTGGGTTCCTGGACACAGACGACGTCGGCGTGCTGCAAGGATTTCCCCGCGATTTGATACCGTGGAGAGACTTGGACATCAGTTCCCCGCAGCAAGCCGGATTGTATGGAAATGCGATGAACCTGGCCGTCATGCTGCACCTGATTCCGCACGTGTTGTGCTCTGCAGGATTTCTGTCCCCAGCTGCGATGAACAAGAAGCTCAAATACGCACGGGACTACGACCCGGGCATTCGCTATCTACCCGGGGCTGTGTGACAGCAGCATCTGAGAGTCAGACAGCAGATGCAATTTTGAAAAGGTCTTCGCACTGCGCAGAAGCCGGCATGCGCGATGCAGGTGTTCTGTGGTGACAGCATATAGTGCTACGGTTTGTGGCTGGATTTGCACGTGCTATGCAATTTGCAGGCCTGCCTGCCGCCATTGTCGCCGCTGTCAGCAGCGCCGCCAGGCCACTTCAGCTTGCCAGCTTTCGTCTTGAGTGGGCGTATTGGTATGGTTTCTTCTATAACACTTGCCAAGGTTGGGGATGCAGGCCGAAACCCTGGGCCCGGAAGCGTCAACTTCGCAGCCGACAAACCCGAAAACCCTGCTGCTACACTGCTACACTTGGTTTTGTTGCTGTTCTATGGTCTTGTCGCATGCCGGGCTCTGGGCCTCAACAAGCTTAGGGGGATTCCGCAAAGATTTGAAGCGTGCCAGGGCGAAACAGCTTCAAGGGTGTTCAGGGTGTGTCTTTTTGTGTGCGTGGGTGTGTGTGTATTATGTGTTTATGGCAGTCCAAGACAGCCCACGCGAGGGTACACTAGCATAACTTGCGTCGCACATCATGTCTATAATGCCGAGCACAGGATCACTTCTCGTAACGTGTTGAGACCACAGCGCGACGACCCCTGCAGTGGATCTGGCTTTGCGAAGAGACCGTTTGTACAGAGAGCAGAGACTCCAGCCATGGAGGTCGAGGGCGACCACCTGTGCCGTCGCTTTGCCAAGATCCATCCATCAGAGTACCCGATACTTTCTGCAGAGGTTGTTAAAGAACTTGACCTCGAGGTCCTGGAGGATGCTTCAGAATCCGTGCAAGGAATGACCTGGCTGCAGTCCAAGGAAGACCAGAGTGGGACGTTCTGCGTAGGCTGCTCTGTATGCGCTGAGATGTTAGCCATGGGCGACAAGGACATCGTGGCGAACTTTGGCATCCGGCACGTCACCGGGCTGAAGCCGAAGCGACTGAAGCAGCACCAGGAAAGTGCAGCGCACGTGGCTGCTGTGAAGCGGCTGCTGCGGCCAGACGAGAAGGTTGGGCAGCCCTTGGTCAGGGAAAACACATCACCTGCTGCGGCCGACTTTGAGGCCATCCTGGCCCATCTGCGCAAAGGCGGAAGCATGCGCCAAGGCATCCCAGGCATTGCACACTTCGCTAAGGCCAAGTGCATGATGTTCCTCCTGGCTGAGAGCACGAAACGCTTGTATCGGTCGTGGATCCGAAGCAGCACCACTATCAACCTTCTCCGAGACGAGCGACATGCTCGTCTTTTGGTGCGGTTTCGGTGTGCAGACTACCGAGGTGTCCGGGGCATCGGCGTTCTGGGACAAGCGCGCGTAGTGCAAGGCACGGCTACCAACATCACCGAGGCAACGATGGCTGTGTTCAGGGAGTTCTGCACCACGAATCACGGTGCGCCTGAGCTGAAGGATGCGGGTCAGGTGCAATTCGACGCGACCTTGTTTGAGCATCTCAGGGACACAGTGCATTCTCTCACGGTCGACGCAGCTGGCAACGAAGTCGCTGCAGGTGAGTGCATGAGATCGGCGAAGTCAGTGACTGCGACGAACGGAGAAGCCTGCACCCCAAACTTGCACACAATAATTCGCGATAAAGCCCACGCTTCTCGCCGCGTTCTAGAGCGGCCATGGTCTTGTGACCCTTACCTCAGCTTCATCGGCAG